AAACCCAATTAAGGATATTATATTTTACTTGAAATACAAACTTGCTTTAAACATTAACGCTCTTGTAGTGTCTCCTCAAAGTATCTCCCTGAGGCCCACTCTCCCACTTCTACCGCCCTTTACTCGTTAGCACTGGGATAGTATACAGGGGCATAATGCCCAGCCTCTGTCATCTGGCAGTAAAGGTAATGACCAATTGCTCGGAGGCCAGATAGGAGCCTTGGATGGGCTGGTTCTGGCCCATGGGTGGTATGTTTGACACCCCTGGTTGTAGATCATAAGACCTTCAAAATAAGCAATGCAAGAGGGGCAGATTTCCAGGTGTGCCAGCTATCCGCCTTATAGATGCCAAATGCAGCGCTTGGTGACCCCCCAAAATGGATGTAACTTGGGGGGAAGAATTCTAGACCTCTCTTCATTTGTAGAAATGTGTTCAGTTCTTGCTTTCTGTCCACAGTTAAAGTCAAACTGAAAGACGGTCTCCTGCTCAGTGGGAGTGGCCTTCCAGATGTATACGCAGCCAAAGGCTTCCACTTCCATTGGGGAACTGGTGTCGACCAGCCAGGATCTGAGCACTGTATTGATGGCAAACGGTACTCTATGGAGGTGAGGACATAGAACCCGCCCAGGCCAGCTGGCGAAGCCAGACACAGAGTCCAAGGAGGCTGCTACGCCTGTTCAGAGTTGCACAGAAGGGACAATTCCATCTCCTTCTGCTTCAAGGTGCTTCAAGGACTGGAGAAGCCACATATCATGATTAATACCTGAAGTCAACCTAAGTTGAGCCAGAGTTCCAACTTGCAAAAGGAGAAGTGACTCTAAATAACAGCGTTCCTCTGAGCATGTGTAAAGTGTCCTTTTTTTACCACTGAATAACCACCACCATAATGTAACCTTTACACATTTTAGAGCAGAATGTAGGGCTTTTAAGCCAAAAGGCTTTTTGAAAAGTAAAAGAGGGGGATATGAGAACAGATTCTCAATTAAGTAGCAGATTTAGGACATGGCAACATACATGTACTAAGAGATTTGCAGAGGGATCCCAAACTGATCCTGTTTTTCCTCCCTTCAGCTACACATTGTGCATACCAGGAACAACATGAGCATGTCAGAGGCATTGGATGATCCTCAAGGAATCGCTGTGCTGGCATTTTTTGTCCAGGTGAGGGATGCAGACCACGCTCTCCTGGCTGGCTTCCTGTGCAAACTTCGGATGTGTTGTGAATTCTCTGGGTTCCCCCCCCCAAGAATCCTGGGAGTTGTAGTCCATTGATTTCTGTCCCTCTATTGTGGTGGTGGAAAGTGCCATCACCTCACAGCTGATATGGTGACCCCCCACAGGGCTTTCAAGGCAAGAGATGATCAGAGGTCCTGTACTTGAGTCGGGGCAGTTTCGGGGTACTAACCAGGGCTGATCCCCACTTGGCTTCCAAGAACTGACGAGGTCAGGCTGGTGTGGGCTGTGCAGGTCAGGGCGGCCACTCTTTCACAGAAACCGAAACCCCAGAATTCCCTGAGAAAAGGGAATGGCCTCTTAAACCAAATTTCAAAACAGCCAATGGAAGAGCTGGAGGAAACGAAAAATCCTTCCTCGACGATAGATTTTCCTACACGATACACACGTCTCTTTTCTCAAGAAGCTCTTGTGTTGTGGGATAAGGCCTTTCCTCCGGCATTCCAAACTGCAGCCCTCTGTCCTCAGTGGCAAAAGGGTTCGTTTCAGGGGCTTCCTTGAAGGGTGGGCCTGCTATGGGACAGTGCCCGTGGACAGAGTAGCACAACTCCTGCCTTTTGGGGCCCGGGATTTTTAAGCTAGTTTCGGAAAGGTGGAAGGGGAAATAGAGATTTAACCACGCTCTCCTGGCCGGCTTGCTGTGCAAACTTTGGCTGTGCTGCGAATTCTCTGAGTTCCCCCCCCCTCCCAAGAATCCTGGGAGCTGTAGTTTGTTGATTTCTGCCACTGTTTTGTTGTGGTGGAAAATGCCATCACATCACCGCCAGCTGACAGCGACCCCGTAGGGCTTCCAAGCCATGCTGTTGCCTCCCATCCAGATACTAACCAGGGCTGATCCCCACTTGGCTTCCAAGAACTGACGAGGTCAGGCTGGTGTGGGCTGTGCAGGTCAGGGCGGCCACTCTTTCACAGAAACCGAAACCCCAGAATTCCCTGAGAAAAGGGAATGGCCTCTTAAACCAAATTTCAAAACAGCCAATGGAAGAGCTGGAGGAAACGAAAAATCCTTCCTCGACGATAGATTTTCCTACACGATACACACGTCTCTTTTCTCAAGAAGCTCTTGTGTTGTGGGATAAGGCCTTTCCTCCGGCATTCCAAACTGCAGCCCTCTGTCCTCAGTGGCAAAAGGGTTCGTTTCAGGGGCTTCCTTGAAGGGTGGGCCTGCTATGGGACAGTGCCCGTGGACAGAGTAGCACAACTCCTGCCTTTTGGGGCCCGGGATTTTTAAGCTAGTTTCAGAAAGGTGGAAGGGGAAATATAGATTTAATTTAAGTAGGGAATGTGTAGGTACTACTTCTAAGACAGCCAGGTTCTTTGTCCCTGGGGTTGCCAACCTCCAGGTTTGGCCTTGAGATCTTCTGCTATTACAGGAGATCTAGACAACAGAGATCAGTTCCCCTGAAGAAAATGGCTGCTTTGGAGGGTGGACTCTATGGCACTGTACCCTGCTAGAGTCCCTCCCCTTCCCAGAGCCCGCCCTTTCCAGACTCCACCCCCTCCCAAATCTCCAGGTATATCCTCACTAAGAGCTGGCAGCAGTAACCCTATTTGTAAGGTTACCAGGTCCCCTCACTGTCATGACTGGGGAATTCAGGGGGCATTCTGGGGGTGGATGGGAGGTTGTGCATGACGTCACTGACACAATGAAGTCACCCGGAAGTGACATCATCATCATCGTGTTGGTGACATCTCGTCTGACACTCTAGTTTTGGGGGATTTTGCTTCAAAACCATGGAGTTTGCCCAAAAACCAGAGCGTCGCTGTGCGGTGTCACCACTACAGTGACGTCACCTTCAGGTGATGTCATAGTGTCGGGGACGTCGCACAACAATGTCCTCGTTTGGTGTTGGGGTTTCCCCTGCCAGCCAAGTGGCTGGGGGCAGATCAGAGCTCCCAAAAGTGGGGGAACCCCTGTTGGGGGCTGGCAGCCCTGCCTATTTGCTTCACACTCCTTCCACACCTCGGTTTCCCTTTTCTCATGTTTTCTGTCTACCACAGGGTTCTGACAGTGCCAAGGGCAAGACTGTTAAAGCATGGAAATCCTTTTCTAAGAACCTCCAAAGGATCGCTAAAAAGGGTGAGTAGGTGACAGGGGAGGTCAAGGAAGGATAACGGTTCTTTCCAAGGGTTGCCAAACTCCAGGTGGTGCCTGGAGATCTCCTGCTAATTACAACTGATCTCCAGGCGACAGAGATCAGTTCGTTTGGAGAAAATGGCTGCTTTAGAGGGTGGATTCTATGGCATTCTACCCCATTGAAGCCCCCCCCTCCCCAAATCGCACCCTTCTCAGGCTCCACACCCAAAATCGCAAGATATTTCCCAACCTGAAGTTGCCAACCCAATTCTTTCCCCAGTTCTGAGGAAGACAGTGGTGCCCCTCATAGAAAAGGCAATAAAGGAGAATGTATTTCCTCCTGTGCGTTACCCATTTCAGCCATTTTGGAAAGTGGTGACGTGTCATGGCTTCTCCTGATGCGTCCTGGGAATTATAGTTGTGTTAGTCTGTGGTAGCAAAATAGAACAGAAACCCAGGGGCACCTGAAGGACGAACAGCATTTATTTCAAGGTGAGACTACTGTGAGTCACAGGCTCACTTCTTAAAACACATTGAAATAAATGTTGTCTTTAAGATAACCCCAGATCTTCATTACTTTTTTTTCTGTGCACTGGCCACTTGCTTTGTGTCTCACATAAGATCTGCTCCCTTTTTCACTGTTTCTCTCCAGGACATACAGCCTTTCCTAAACTTTTCTTCTTCTCTGAACAACATCAACAGACAGCTTAACTGTTTTCACACAGAACAGCTTCTCACTTCTTTCATACACAGAGCTTAACTGAACTTCTGTTTCTCTCACAGAACTAAGAACTTAACTTATCCCACACAGGGATGTGTCTCACTCCTCTCATACACAGAACTTAATTAACTCTCTAACTGTCTTCTTCAACTGTCTAAACTGTAACTCTTGACTGACACACATTTTCTAAAACCCCTCCCCCTTTCTGCCAATCACCAATCACACTCACTTGCCTGTTTCAACCACTCTAGACTATCATACAGCCATGCAACCAAACTTTTAAAGAGACACACACACATAAACAAAGAATCATAACAGGGAGATTGTATGTTTTCCTCCTCCTTCGCTCACACAGGTTCAGACACAAAGCTTCGAAGCAACGTCTCCCTCCACGACTTAATCGGTCCCACAGCCGATCTCCAGGCGACAGAGATCAGTTCGCTTGGAGAAAATGGCTGCTTTGGAGGGTGGATTCTATGGCATTCTACCCCATTGAAGCCCTCCCCCTCCCCAAATCGCACCCTCCTCAGGCTGCACACCCAAAATCGCCAGATATTTCCCAACCCGAAGTTGCCAACACAATTCTTTCCCCAGTTCTGAGGAAGGCAGTGGTGCCCCTCATAGAAAAGACAATAAAGGAGAATGTATTTCCTCCTGTGCGTTACCCATTTCAGCCACTTTGGAAAGCCATTTTGGAAAGTGGTGACGTGTCATGGCTTCTCCTGATGCGTCCTGGGAATTATAGTTGTGTTAGTCTGTGGTAGCAAAATAGAACAGAAACCCAGGGGCACCTGAAGGACGAACAGCATTTATTTCAAGGTGAGACTACTGTGAGTCACAGGCTCACTTCTTCAAATACATTGAAATAAATGTTGTCTTTAAGATACCCCCAGATCTTCATTACATTTTTTTCCTGTGCACTGGCCAGAGGCCGTCGGGGGCCCTTGGCTGGGCGCCACCATCATTCAAACCTGTTTGAAACGGGTTTAAATTTGAAACAGGGAGATTGTATGTTTTTCTCCTCCTTTGCTCACACAGGTTCAGACACAAAGCTTCGAGGCAACGTCTCCCTCCACGACTTAATAGGTCCCACAGATCTCGCCCGCTACTACCGCTACAGCGGGTCCCTCACCACTCCCAACTGCAACGAGGTCGTAATCTGGACCGTCTTTACTGAGCCCATTCTGGTGCCCTTCAAAGTGGTGAGTGCAACTACCTTGGTTGGCAATGGGAAGGGAGGGGGAGATGCCAGAATACAGAGGGGAGGGCCTAGCTGGGTGGAAGAGGAAAGCAGTTATCTTTGGAGCCGGTTCCTCTCCCTTTAACGGAGGAGCTTCATTTGTCCCCATTAGCATCCTGTGTCCCGTTCAGCTCCATCTGCTGACTTCTGCATATCCAAACCCTCTTAAAGTGACAGAAGAAGGGCAAGCTTTTTGTTCTCGAGGCCACTGGCCGGAGAAGTAGTTGTCTCAAGGAGAGTTGGTGAGGTGAGCTGAGAAGCTGCTGGTATTAGAGCTGGAGAAGGTTTGCCAGCTCTGGGTTGGTGAATATCTGGAGATTTGTGGGCTGGAGCCTGAGGAGGGTGGGTTTGGGGCATAATGCCATAGAGTTCAACTTTCAGAGTGGCCATTTTCTCCAGGGGGACTGATTTCTGTTGTGTGGAGATCAGTTGTAATAGCGGGAGATCTCCAGCCACCACCTGCAGCTTGGCAACCCTAAGTTGGAGATACCTTCTTAAAGTTTTGAGAAGGAAGAGGCTTGGAAGAGCAGAAAGGGCCCTTCAAATTGAATGTTGAAACTCTGTTGGATTTTGTCCCATTGATTTGTCCGGTTCACACCGTTCTACCTAAAAGGGTGGCTCTAATACGTTCTCTCCCCCAACAGGGCGGCCAGTGTGGGCCCAGGCTCCGCCTCCTCCTTAAAACCTGTCCTCTTCCCCCCCCCCACAGGTGGCATTTTTCCCTTTCAATCTCCGGTCGACAGATTCTTCTGTGGGGCCTCACCAGAAGAACAACTTCCGCCCCCTGCAGAGACTCCACAATAGAATGGTGGAAGCATCGGCCCTTTTGAAGCCTCCTTTAGCCACAACCGGAGCCACACAGCCAGTAGTACCCAACCTGTCCGTCCTTGGCATCGATGTTCTTGGGGTTTTACCCATATAAAGGTTGTGGGTGGTCAGAACCACCCAGAGGAGGAGATGGGCATGATCTCGTCCGTCAGAGGGCAAAATTTAATCACAACTCTTCCTATCCCCACCCCTGAAACTTCAAATCTCCCTCCATTCACTTTTCAGCCAGCTCCCCAGGAGCAAAAATCACCAGCAAACAGCACTAAAAGGGTGGGAGGTGTACATTTCAGAGAGGATCAGGAGCGCAGAGAAGACAGTAACAGGAGGCAGTAATTCTCGGGTCGAGGGTAGCCTGCTTTGGTCTGCTATTGCTAGAGCTGAGCTGAGATTTCTCACCTTCATAAAACTGCTAATTTCTAAACACCTGAAATTTAAAAGAGTTTAAAATGTCAATATTTGAGCTCTCAAATCTGTTTTCAGGATGAGACGCAAAAGACCCATTGCCAAGCTGTGAGCCCTGACACATTCGTGTTATCTCACCAAAGCCTAAAATCCACACAAAAATAAGAACAGTAATCCCAAATGTAAATTTGGTTTGGATTTTGAGATTTATGTTTTTGGACACAGAATTACAACGTAGTGATTCCCCCCCCCAAAAAAAAAAGATTTTCAACTCTAGTTGTAGCAGAAAGAGACAAAAACTGTGAATCGCAGCGCCTATTCACACATATATGGACAACAAATTACAATGACCCAGGCCACTCATTCAAACATGCGTTTACACCACATCAAACTTCTATATCTCCCAAATGTTACTTCAAGGGCAATAACTTCCCAATGGAGTCTTTTAATACCTCCTCGTGCCATTTTGGCATCAAATGTTGTGTGGTGTGCTTGCTTGCTTGAAACACCCCCTAGTACTTTTCCCATAGTGCCACAGGGCAAAAATGACACACTCTGAGATATAGTCAGAGTGTTTTTTCCCTCAAATGAAAAACTGGGGCCAACTTTCCCCTTTTAACTACCTCATCTGGCCTCTTTTTTAATATTCTCTTCGCTCGAAGACATTCTTTAATGGTAGGAAGGACTTCTGGAATCCTCTATCACGAAAGAGTGTAATGTCTTGAACTGACTATAAACCACTTGTTAAAGATGGGGGGAAAATCTTTAAACATTAAGTGGAAATGTTCAGGGGTTGGAAAGTGTGTTAATTTAACTTCCCTCATCATGTTTTGAAAAACGGCTAACTAACAAATAAACTTTGATGTACAGGACAAATATGTGTGCAATTACTGTTATTTAGTGAATGTGCATGTGGCCCCGTTTGTGTGAACAGAGGCACAAATAGTAAATATTTTCTGTAGAAGTTATGTGGGATGATGCATTTTGTTCTGTGTGTAGTTCAAACACTCTTAATATATTAGACTACATAGTTCTACATTTTTCCTTTCAAGGCGGATCATATCCAGGAGAGTTATGTAAGTCTGTCACTAAATTCAATTCTATTTTGCTGCCTAGGCAGGAGATAATTCTCCTCTCTATGGTAAAGAGAGATAACCTGGGAAGTCACGAAGATGGCCTTGCATAAGGGTGGCCAACCTCCATGTCATTAGCATAATAGGCCACACCCAACAGCAGAAACGCATTAGGATTGGCTACATTAGGGGTGTGTGGCCTAACATGCAAAGGAGTTCCTGCTACAAAAAAGGCTCTGGGTTTTGACAACAAACAAGGTCAACAGAATAAGAAGCAAAAGGTGGGCGTGGCTGGATGACCACACTTCTGGTAACATGGGGGTGTGGCCTAATATGCTAATGAGCTGTGTTTTCAGGGCTGTGGCCTTCTATGCTAATAAGTTCCTGCAGTTGGGTGTGGCCTATTATGCTAATGAGTTCCTGCTGGGCTTTTCCTACACAAAAAAAAAACCCTGCTGAAAAGCACTGGCATATGGTTGCTCTTGGGCTGGAAAACCATGCCTTTGTTATCGAATGAATGCGGTTATAGATTGAATAAATAGAAGTCTTCTGAGAGGTAATAGTGGTGCTTTACTTGTTAAATACTGAAACATACCAGTTATCTCACAGGGTAGCCATGTTGGTCTGCATTAGAACAGTTAGATTCTGCTCCAGGAGCACTTCAAAGACCAACAAGAATTTCAGGGTACACGCTTTCAAGAGTCAAAGCTCCGTTCGTAGAATGTGAGTAGAAATAGAGATCTGAGTCTTTATATACCAGTCAGAAGGTGGGAGGGGTGTCGTAAAGGATGCTTGTAAAGGATGCAGAGGTATAATGCTTGGGGGCCGAAAATCTGTAGTGAGATAAGAATCTTATGTCCCTATTCAGCCCGAGGGGCGGGGGATTCCGTAGTTCTGAAGTTGTGAATGAACTCAAGTTCGGCAATCTCGCATTATTAGCACCCAAAAAGAACAAAGGACACTCTCCTGGCTGGAGCAACCTCCTGTGTGGAAAGCACTGATACTGGAACAAGGACAGATGGAGGGAATTTAGGGTACTGATAGAGGGAACCTGTTAGTATTTACTGCTCACAGTACACCCCCGTGGGCTCAAAGGCCCGGTTGACAGCATTTAGAATTGGTATGGATCATGATGGTATTTTGATTCCGTGAAGTAAAAGAGCTTTCGGTTTCTGAATGGCTGCACTGGACGGAAATTGTTCTGCATCCTCCTACCTTCCTTTCTGGTGGTAAAATAGAGCGACTGGGTAAACTTCTTCACCTAGAAAAAAGGAGGAAGCAAGGGATGGGGACAGACTGTTAGGAGAGGAAAAGAAGCGGTGGATAGAAATCCGGAGAACTTGTGTAAACTAGAGGACCGTTTTCTAATCTCCAAAGTAAAGCAGTAATAACCAGGACTCCAGAATTATCATAAGCCTTCTCAACAGGCAAATCCTGGAAAGTTCTTCTGATCACTAGGAGCAGCTCTTGCTTTAAGGGGGCAAATTGGCCTAGGAGGATTCTCACCTGGCCAGAGAGCCACACAAAAGTATTGTTTGTGTGGGCCACAGGCTGCACAGAATATCCCAAAGTTCCTGCTTCTCCCCTGGAATTCTGGGAAACACACTTTATGGGACAATGGGGCTTGGCCAGGGCCTAGGCCGGATTCCCCAACGTGATTCCTGTGGATGCCATGGTACCTTCCGACACCCTTTTCTGGTGCCCACCAAATGTTTTTAGAAAGTGGGCGGGGCCAGGTGAGACACTTGCCCAGCAAGGCGCTCCTGACTGGCCACTGGAGATCCAATTGGCTGGGAAGATGAAAAGAACATTGTTTCAGCAGCAGCTGCTACCACAGGGTTGGTTTCATTCCTTTTCACTCCTCTTTCCCAGGACATTTTTAAAAATTATCCCTCTTCTCCTTTGCCCTTTGACTTCCTCTATGCATGTAGCTGTGCTTCCTGCAACAGCCCTCCTGTGGTTGCGCCCACTAAACCTGTATCAGAATTCCAAAAGTGCCTTCAGGTTTAAAGAAGGTAGGGACCCCTGGCCCAAACAATGAAGGACCTCACTGAACTACCTAGACAGCCACAGGACAGAGATTATACGCTCTCACTCCTTGATGCTGTAGCAAGAAACTCGGAAGCATGATCAGTCTTAGCACCATGAGGGAACAGGTGAAGGGCTGCTAGTTTTCAGTAGTTTCAGAGGGTAACCCAGTTGGTCTGCAGTAGAACAGTGAGATTTAAGTCTTAGAGACCAACGAGATTTTGGGGGTATGAGCTTTCTTTTGAGAGTGAATGCTTCCTTTGTCAAATGCCTGATGAAAGGAGGATTGGCTCTCGAAAGTTCATACTCTCCAAATCTTGTTCTCTGAGATGCTACTGGATTCAAATCCAGCTGCTTTTCAGTAGCAATATGATCCATGTCTTCTTAACCCACCCTTGGCTTTCAAAAGAACTCGGGTACTTCCAGTCCTAGATCTCACCCTGTTTTGACACACGGGGTGTGTTCAGACAACATGCTGAGAGCGGTTTAAACTGGCCCGGTTCTGACACAATTATTTTTGATCTGGATAATCGCGATCACATTTACCTCCCTTATCCTGCCTCGCTGCGCAGTCATGTCGCTCCGCAACGTCTACACTACCATCGCGCGGAAGCATGTGTCAGTGGGTTTTGGTTTTTTTCCCAGTTTGCGGATGCGCATAGGCACTCATCCATAGAATCGGGCGAAACTACCATGGCGCATGCGCAGAACCACAGGGCGAATCAATCCAACCCCTCCAACAAAAGACTTCCCTTTAAACGTTTGACCCGAAAACGGCCTCCGGGAGATTCCGAACTCATCTAAATGCTGAAACAAGTGACCGTTTAAATGTCGGTTTTCTAAACACGGTAGCGGAGCTCCGCCTATGTGCACACCGCTGATGCATTAAAAAAAATGGCAGACAAAAAGCGGACGCCTCGGGCAGCTTTCAAGCGGGGAGGGGGTTTAAACCGGAAGTGGCTTGACACCGGAGGAGCAATCACACAGGGGGGAAATGCGGCTTTAAACGGGAGAGCTGAGAAAACACCACTTTGGGACCTGGTAACAAAATACTCCGGGTTAAAGGGGTTTTGAGCCGGAAACCAACGGCTGGGGACCGGAGGCAGATGTTGACTGTGTGATCGTGCATATAAAACCCATTGCTGAACTGTTACAACACCAGATCAAACGGCGCACCTCAATGCACCCAGGGTGTCCCATCTTCCTTTCAGAGGATTTAAAGACCTTTGGCCTCCAGCCGCCTCCTCTGTTTGGTCAATGTTAATCACTCACCACTTGAGGGGACACCGGAATGGGATCAGGGAAGATGGTCCAGATCACCGACTCACTGCAGGGGGGAGTGGTGAGAGAGCCATGGTAGCGATAATAGTGGCTGTCATCTACTGTTTTCAGTAACCCTCCCAAGGAGAACTCTCCATGCAGCTGTCTAGAATTCCCTGGAGAAAGAGAACAGAGGTGAGAAAATAGTTAAGAGACTTGGTGGGAATCTGCCTCGTCTTCCAGAGCATTGAGGGGGCTGGGGAGCTCACCCTTCTCTGGGATGAATTCCAGGAGGTCAGACAGAGTCTTCCAGGCATTCATTTTGGGAGCATAGTTATCTTTCTACGGGGAAACAAACAGAGAGGGTGTTAGTGATGTTCTAGGGTGATCTCTCGAGACATCCGGCTCCACCCCCTTTTAGAATAGAAGCCAAATCGCCCACCATGGCGTGGCTTATGCAACAAAGGCCTTGGACAAACGCCCAGCTTCTCCAGCTGCTCACATCGGCTTTGCTGCCAACTCAGCTTCCCACCTTTAAGAAGAACGCCAAGACGGCATATCCTTCAGGGTCTTTTCTTGCTTGTTCGGTACTCATGTTGTTTTTGGTGTGAACGATGTGTAGCTGGTGTAAGAAGGAGAGACAAAGATAAGGAGAGGAAACCAGATTTCTGTGTTATGAGGGTGTGAGACAATAGGCAGCTTCTTGAGTTCCTCACGGGAGACCCAGATTTACTCTTCTGTTGAGCCATAAAACTCACCCATTGGCTAGTCTCTGTTTGGAAGGCCAAACAATAATAAGAATCACTTGACTTGAATCACCAGTTTGGTGTAGTGGTTAAGTGCGCGGACTCTAATCTGGGAGAACCGGGTTTGATCCCCCACTCCTCCACTTGCACCTGGCTGGACGACCTTGGGCAAGCCATAATTCTGGCACAGCTGTTCTTGAAAAAGAGCAGTTTCTGTCAGAGCTCTCTCAGCCCCACCTACCTCACAGGGTGTCTGTTGTGGGGAAGGGAAGGGAAAGGAGATTGTAAGCCGCTCTGAGACACCTTTGGGTAGTGAAGGGCGGGGTATAAATCCAATCTCTTCTTCTTCTTCTTCTTCTTGACTGATATGGTTGCTAAGTGAGCATTCTGCGTTAAGCAGACTGCTGACTCCTAGGCTATGATCAGCGGATACTGCCTCAAGGCAACAGTGTTAAGATTGCCAGCTCTGGGTTGGGAAGTACCTGGAGATTTTGGAGGTGGAGCCCGAGGAGGGTGGGGTTTGGGGAGGGGAGGGGCTTCAATGGAGCAAAGTGCCATAGAGTCCGCCTTCCAAAGCAGGAGTTGTCTCCAGATGAACCAATCTTTGTCACCTGGAAATCAGCTGTAATCCCAGGAGATCCCCAGCCACCACCTGGAGGTTGGCTACCCTGCAGCAGTGGCACAGCGAGAGGAAGCAGATAGGGCCAAGGTTCCCTCAAAGCTGTGGAGTCTTGTGAGCAAAAATTCTACTTTGTGAGCTCCTGGCATTAAAGTTGTGAGCGAGTGGTTTGGCTGCTGCATAAATTAGTTTGCTCCGGAGCCATCCTTCCTGAGCGAAGACAGAAATGTGTGAGCTGGAGGCTAACAAATTGTGAGCTAGCTCACACTAACTCAGCTTAGAGGGAACACTGGATAGGGCTGCCCCCCCCCGATCTTGCATGCCACCCTCTCTGAACTTCGAAACTTTCCTTTAAAAAAGACCCCAGCTCTTTTACTTCTGGAGATATAAGGGAAGCCAGGGAGGCAGTATTCTTATCTACCCAGTCGGTCATTTCTAAAAAATAAAACTGTTTTTGCAATCTGTTGTTGTGATCCATGGTCACTAAATTCAAAAGTAGTGGGATAAAAAGGTCAAGGACTAAGCCCTTTTTTTCACTGTAAATGATTTTTTTTAATTAAAAAAAAGTTATATCCTACATTCTCAGTAAGATAGCTACCCTGTTTCCCCGAAAATAAGACCTACCCCAAAAATAAGCCCTAGCAGGATTTCTATGCATTTGTGGTATAAGCCCTAGTGTGTCTTCTTGAGAAAAAATAAATATAAGACAGTGTCTTATTTTCGGGGAAACACAGTAGTGAAGCAGCCTGCAAACTCTGCACTTAATAAAACAAAGTTGCCAAAGACAGCAACTCCCAAAACCCAGAAATAAAAGAATAGAAGAATTATAAATAGGAGAAGCATTAAATATATATTTCATTAAGAGCAACTGCAGCAAAATCTGACACTGAATTCATATTTAATACAATTCTCATGACTTCAGACATAAAGATCTACTTTCTGCAGGGATTCCCTGCCCCCCCCCTCAACACCAGATTTCTGGTTATCGGCCTGCAAACACTGCAGTTTGAAGATAGATCCAGGTAGTCAGCCGTGTTGGTCTGAAGCAGTAGAACAAATTTAGAGTCCAGCGGCACCTTTAAGACCAATGAATGTTTGTTCAAAGTATGAGCTTTCGTGTGCATGCACACTTTTCCAAATACAGTGGAATGGGAGGTAAGGTTCAAACTTATAGACGGGCTGAATAGCAAATCAACATATAACATGATAAAGATGTTTTAAGATATGTGAAAACGGAATTAAATAACAAGCTAAGGTTATAAGGTCAACAGTTGTAAAGCAATAAATATGTCAAAATAAGTCTGAGACTCTCCATTCAAGCTCTGGAAGTGAATGGAGAGTCTCATACTTATGGCACTGGTTCTGCTGGGCACAGTGCACTGGTTCGGCTGCTTGCCTTGCAAATATGCCCCCCCAGGGCTCTTTTTGTAGAAAAAGCCCAGCAGGAACTCATTAGCATAATAGGCCACACCCATCAGCA